TCACTCTTTACTACTTTGAAAAATGTGCCACTGTTTCAATGCCATACCTGTGAACTCATGTTATATTACTGTGCTTATATATGCTGTTGGGGCAAAGTAAGCTGTTTTGTAAACATTTTTTTATTTTTAAAAAAAACATAATTTTAAGTTCATTTTCTGTTGTTCAGTGATGTACAAAAAATTATGTACACAAATTTACACACTTAGTATTCTATTTATTAATTCATACTTTACAGTAGTGTGGGAATGATAAAGATTTTTAAGGTTATGTGGTGTCATTTTCCTTGAAAAATCTTACACAGGGTCTATAGTATTACAGGGTTATTTACTAAAGTGAGTTTTTTTCAGGAAGTGAATATTACATTTAAAGAAACATTCAATTAACTTTTTTATACTTTTGAACTATTTCACTTTTTTGTTTCTGTTGTTTTGGGGGGTATATGAAAACAAATAAACAGTATGTGCAGTCTGCAGCCTTTGCAAGTCCTGTCCTTGTTTCAAAGCACAAACTTTCGGTCTGAACTGGGGAATTGGCCAGTCAGAGGCTTTTCACTACATCAAGCTGAAGTGCTTTATGTTTCTGGAGTGTTCCCTTAAGGCTAAAATGGCCAAACTAGAAAAACGCAAGACAGCTAGCTATACTTCTAATTCAGCTATTTTGCCCTTCATTTTAAAATTCACTTTGAAATCACTTTAAGTTCCAAATATCTCACTTTAGTAAATAGCCCTGATAATTGTCATATAGAGTAAATATGATGTAAATAAATACAAAGGTTGAATACACTGCCTATAAGTCATTTCAGGAATGCAGCTTCCTATAAATTCCCCCAAAATGCAGTATGCTTACTGTAACGGCACCCCTAGGCATAAAAGGGTTAAACTGCCATTTAGAAGATCTTCCTCTTCCAGAGACACAGGCAGCTACTGTAGACACCAATCCACCGAACCAGAGAAGCATATGAATGCTCTCAAACATACGAATACTGTAAACAGACAAATAGGAATAACCAGACGAATAGGTTTACACTTCTAGCAGTCGAACTGGAACAGCATACAATGAATCCCCCCCAAGAACGAGACAAGGCTCCATTTTGAGGGTCAAGCAGGAACAGACAGAGCTGTGGGTTTATTGTTCTTATATTAGTACCACCCACAGGGTTTTGTAAAACAGCCAATAAACACGTACAATACACTCAGACACTCCCACACAAAATCCTCCCCTCTGCCTGTGATACAATTACCTTACACAATGGGTTAATATAATTATCACAGGCAGAGAAATACAGTTTTTCCACATTATTCATAACTTTAAAAGTATGCATCACATTCACATAAAATTTACATTTTCAGAATCAGCATACTCCAAATACAAACATATGTCATCCAAATTGGTCCAAAGTTGATTGATAAAATATGGAAAATTCTAATGTGAAATAAAAAAAATATATTAAAAACTTCAAATGGTAAACATAATGGTGAAATACTGAGGTAGGTGAACAGTCTGTTAAGCCTCAGACAACAAAAAGTTAAAAACCTGTGATCCAGACATGGATGGATGTGGATTGAGATAAGAGTTCTTTCTCTTCTCCCTCCTCGTAGCCGGTGAGGACGGCGTGTGAGTCCCTGTATCCTCTGCCTCCAACCTTACATCGAGAGGTGGAGCTTGAACTCGCGAGGGTGATGAGGCTTTTAACTTTTTGCTGTCTGAGACTTAATAGACTGTTCACCTACCTCTGTATTTCACCGTTATTTTTTTTTTATTTTTTTTTTTTATTCTTTATTTTTCGCTCTGCCATTCAAGCGTGGCTACAATAGTGCAAACAGATGTGAATACATAACCGCACAAGTGTTGTTGGTGCGTAGTAGAAGATACAGGGTAACAAAATTAGTACAAGCATCTGTCACAAGCTGTGCACCTTTGGTGCATCTCCGCCAGAGTTTTCTTTTACATTAGTAATCTGATAAGGAGAAAGAGAAAGAAAGATATATGGAAGGAAAGAAATAACTATGTACAACTGTCGACTTATTGAGGAGTGTGTTGTGTCCTAGGCTCTCCGGGTGACTGCGATAGGTGTATTGCATTGCCTTGGCCAATACGTCTGTGTGTGGTATCCCGAGCTTGCCCAGGTAGCTCAGGCATTGTTCCCTTTCCGTCTGCCCTGTCTCTGCCCCCCACTTTGATCTGGCAATCCGTCAGGTACGTAATATGGCAGGGTTAGACAGTGTTGAAGTTTTCCTCTCCTCGTGTTTGCTTACATTGTCTGAGGTATTTACCAAAGATAGAAGCAGATTGGTGAAGAATAGGTAGATATAGGTAAGTATAGTGTTCAGTATGTTGTAGTACAGAAAATTAGTGATCTCCTGTGAGTCAAGAACCCCGTGCCGCCCACCCCAGTGGGCCGCGGCCCTCGTTCCTGCTTTAGCCAGTCCCCCGTCCTTCTGTGGAGCCGCTTCCACCCGTCCGGGTTATGGTATGCCAGCGACCGCCGGGTGAGCCTCTGCCATCGCTGCTGAATTGTGCCGCACAGATGCCGCCCCGCGCCCCGAGCCTATGTGTCATATTGCTCCCATGGTCCCCACACCTTGTGAAATGTGGTCAGCGTGTTCCGCACTTGGGCCGTGAGTTTATCCATCAGATAATTATCGCGGAGTTTCGTCCTAACCAATGATAGCTGCGGGAGGTCCGGGCATGACCAGTGTTGTGCCACGGCCCTGCGGGCCGCTAAGTATATCATGTTAAGGAGTTTTTGTTCGTGTCTCGGGAGGCTCTCCGTGGGTCTGGATAGAAGGCATGCCCAGGGATCTAGTGTCATTCGTTTTTGTAAGATTTGAGAGCTGAAGTTTACTATGCTGCGCCAAAAGGCCGCAACCTTTGGGCATTCCCACCACATGTGGATGTATGTGCCCCTCCCCCCACATAGGTGCCAGCAATCATCTGTAGGATGCAATTTCATGTGTTTTTGCTTCACAGGAGTCATGTACCAACGGAATAGCGTTTTGTATGATTGTTCTTGGAGTGTTACGCAGATAGTGGTTTTGGTGCATGCCTCCCAGATGTCCTGCCACTCCGTTCCCTCTAGGGCCTCCCCCAGGTCGGCTTCCCACTGGTCAGCGTATCGGAGTGCGTCTGTCGTTTCCGGGGCCGTGTTGAGGTGGTTGTACAGTAAAGTAATTAGCTTGGATTGTGTAGTCTCCGTAAAACAGAGTTTCTCAAAAAAGGTTAGAGGTGTCAGGGCTGCCTTTTTTACGTCAGGGCTCTGTGCAAAGTCTCGAATTTGCAAGTACCTGAAATAGTCTCTAGTGTGCAGTGGAGCTTTGGTGTTCAGGTGTGCGTATGTGACTATTTCCTGGTTTATGAATAGGTGGACGTATCTCTGGAGCCCAGTGGCCTCTATCCCTTTGTAGTCCCGGGCTCTCATTCCTGGTGGGAATGCCCTATTCCGGAAGACCGGTGTCATGGGAGATAGAGGGGGGCTCAAGGAGTATTTCAGTTTAGTTTGGTCCCATATCCGTATGGAGTTCAATATAGCCGGATTCGTGGTTCTCAGTATGGCCCTTTGTGTTTTTGGTGCCCATATAAAAAATTGTGGGAGGTCCTGTCTCGTCATTAGCGACTCCATGTCGACCCAGCGTCGCGTATCAGGGGGTGTGTGCCATTGTATGATCTGGGCTAACTGTGCCGCTAGATAATAATTATATACATTAGGTAGTCCCAGTCCCCCCCTGGCTTTCGGTCTGTACATGAGTGTGCAAGCCATTCTCGGGCGCTTGTTGTGCCAGATGAAGGAGTCTATTGCCCGCTGTATACCCGTCAGGTCCCCCCGGGTCACCTGTACCGGGAGTGCCTGAAAAAGGAACAGGAGCCTCTGCAACACATTCATTTTTATTGTGTTGACCCGTCCCAGCCATGAGATGGGCCTGTGTGTCCACTGCTCCATTTCCGTGATAAGGGTCCGAAGCAGTGGTGTATAATTGCGGGCATAGAGCGACGATGTGGTTGCCGTTAGGTGGACCCCTAGGTACAGGAGTTCCTCCGTGGCTATCTTTAAGTGGTATTGTTTGCGTATATGTTCTACGTCTTGGTGCGGCATGTGGAAAGGCATTGCTACCGACTTGGAGTAATTAATTTTATAGCCTGCGATGTTCCCAAATTTTGCTAAGAGTTGTGTCAGGTGGTGTAGGGAGTCCAGCGGATCCCGGAATGTTAGCATAACGTCATCAGCATACGCCGAGACTGTGAAGGATGTGCCGCTCACCTCTATGCCCTGAATGTGTGGATGTTGCCTGATTGCTTGTAATAGTGGCTCCAGGGTTAGGGCGAAGAGCAAAGGGGACAACGGGCATCCCTGTCTAGTGCCGTTGCTAAGGGTGAAAGGCTGTTTAGGCGCCCCTGTGATAAGTGTTTGTGCCCTCAGGTCTGTATAGAGTGCATGTATTGCCGTCACAAAGGGCTCTGGGAACCCCTGGAACCGGAGCAGCTCGAAGAGGTAAGGCCATAGCACCCTGTCAAACGCCTTCTCTGCGTCTAAAGAGAGCGCTAGAGAAGGCGTCTTGGACTCCGCCATGTGCCACATGGCATTTACCCCCCGTCTGGTGTTCTCGTACAGTTGGCGTCCGGGCATAAAGCCCACCTGGTCCGGGTGGATCAAGCGTGGGAGTAGGGAGGAGAGCCTGGATGCCAGTATTTTAGCAAAGACTTTGAGGTCCGTATTGATAAGTGAAATTGGCCTATAGCTGGAGGCTAGTGTGTCATCCTTATCTGGTTTTGGCAGTAGTACTACATTCGCCGTTGCCATGTCCCCGTCAGGTCCCCCGCCCTGCATAAAGTGGTTACAAAGGGCCGTGAGGGGAGGGGCTAGTACCTCCTTGAGTTGTTTGTAATAGTTAACATCATATCCGTCTGGGCCCGGGGCCTTGTTTCCCTTGAGGGATGCTATGGCTGATTCTACCTCTGTTTGTGTAATCGGTTCACTTAGGGAACCTGCTTCTGCCTCGCTCACTTTGGGCAGCGTGAGGTCTACAAGGAATCGTTGTATGTCGGCCCTATAGGTGGTGTTATTGGTGTGTAGGTGGGGGGAGTGATTGTAGAGGTTGGAGAAATAGGAGGTGAAAACTTCGTTAATGGCCTCAGGGGTCTCAACTAGCATGCCGGTGGCCGTGCGTATTTTCGTGATGACCTTTCCCTGTGGTCTCGGGCGGAGCACCCTTGCTAGCAGTGTGTCTGTTTTATTTGCTTTCTCGTAATAGAGCCGTTTTGACCATTGTATGGAGCGTGCCACCGCTTCCAGAGATATGTCCCTAATAGAGTGTCTGAGTGTGTTCAGTTCCCTAAGCTTGGAGTCTGTCGGGTTAGTTTTGTGTTGCTGCTCCGCCTTCCGTAGAGCGGACTGTAATTCGAGGAGCTTTTTAATTTTTTCTCGCTTTTTATGCGTTGCAAGTTTTATAAAGTGCCCGCGTATGACCGCCTTGTGTGCTGCCCAGACCATGGTGGGATTGGTGTCAGGTGTTGCGTTTAGTGCAAAGTATTCTGTGATAGCCTGTCGGGTGGTCTCTAGGGTTTCGGCGTCTCTAAGAAGACTAGTATTAAGCTTCCACGACCAGTTGGACTGGTAGCGCAGGTTGCCTAGGGTCAGCGTTACGTCCGCGTGGTCTGACCACGTTATGCTACTGATGTCTGTGTGTATGGCCTTATCCATTCCCACCCCGTTCAGGAAAATGTTATCTATTCTGGAGTAGGTGTTGTGTGGCGCGGAATAAAACGTATAGTCGGATGTGGTCGGGTGCTGTAGTCGCCATACATCTAGTAGGCCCGTGTGTATCAAAAATGTGTGTAAGAGTTTGTCTTGACCCCCTCTACCCTGAGACCTCACGGTGCCCGGTTTTGAGCTTCTATCCGCTGCTGGGCTTGGTACTGCGTTAAAGTAGCCCCCCACCAGCAGAACCCCCCCCCTGGCCCCGGTCACCAGTACCTCTAGGCTCTCCCAGAACTGCCTGTCCGGCTCGTTGGGTGCGTAAACATTGATAATATGTATTTTTGTGGTGTAGAGGGTGCCTCCTATATATAAAAATCTCCCCTCCGGGTCAGTCTGGGTAGTAGTGATTTGTAGCGGGCAGTTTTTATGGACGAGGATCGCCACCCCTGTTCGCTTACGGAGGGAGCGAGCCTCATGCACTGTCGAGTAGGTCCTGTCAGTCAGTTTAGTGGGCGCCGACCTGGGGAGGTGTGTCTCCTGTATCAGTGCGATATCTATTTTTTTGGCCTTTAAGTCTCTCACTAGTAGTCTCCGTTTGGTTGGGGAGTTGAGGCCCTTGACATTTAACGAAAGTACCTTAAGAGCCATGTGGGGAGGTCGGCTGTGTTGCTGGTAGTGCCGGCGCTCTTGGTGTCCGGAGTCTGTAGTGCGTGCTGTGTGAGGGGCCTGGCCCGAGGGCTACACCCGTCGACGCTGGCGGCATCCATATGGCACAATGGAATTGGAGATCAGTACTTGTCAGTGAAAAGAGTGAGGAGAAAGAAACATAAGTAACAAAGAACCATTTCAAGATACATACAAATAAACATGAAAAGTAAACAGAAAGTGATAATCTGGTCTTAACCTGTGCCAGATTGAATTGGGGGTGGTCGCCCCTCCCGAGTGATGTATGAAAAAGCACCTCTCGGGGTTGGTGATCTCCCATCGCCCCTCCACTGTGGTGCTGTAAGCAGCCAGCGGCCACATAACCCCTGTCTGCTGGTTTGTCCCCCGTAAAGCGAGGTGTGCTTGCCATTGTCCTCCCTTGGGTTGCTTGGTGTGTGTGCCTTTCACCCTTGCTGTGTGTTATTTTTGCCCTCCTTTCCTTCGTTTATGTGGGAGTCCTCCCCGCCTGTCATTCGTAATGACTGTGTGTCAATCCTCCCCTGCCCGCCCCCTCCATCCCCCCCCTATCTGGCCAGTGCGCTAGAGCATGTGCGTGCCCGTCGAAGGGTGCCTTGTCTGTGATGTGCCTTTTTTTTTTTTTTACCCCTCGTCTTTTCCCTCCCCTCCCCTTTCTCTGGAATGTGGTAGTTCGTGAGTCATATCTCCCATAAGTTGGTCTACGGTGTATAAGTTTCAGCTGCGTAACCCAGATATCAGTGGCAGTACCCAGAGTGGTGTGTGTGTGCCCCCAACTAATGTTACACCAGGTGTAGTGTCCCAAGGTCAACTTAGCTGTCCCATGCGGCTATCATGCCACCAGAGTCACTGTAAGTGCCCCTCGTGGGCCAGTCAGGTCTGCGTGGTGCCTGCATCCTCCTGGGCTGCCGTTGCTGCGACTGTATACCAGTCCCTTGGGAGAGGTGTTAGGGTCCGCCGAACGGGTCCAGGTAAGGCGAAGGTTCTCGGGGGTGTGATGTCCAGGTCACGTAGAAATTTTCGTGGGTCCCCTCCTGGTGAGTATGTAAGTGTTCTTCCCACTTTGAAAGCTACTATTTTAAACGGGTGTCCCCATGTGAATCGGATTTCGTGTTGTCGCAGAAGATCCGTCAGCGGTCTCCATTCCCGTCGTCTTTGAAGCGTGCTTGGTGCAAGATCTTGATAGAGAGAGATGGGCTTGCCTTTGTATGTTAAGTCGTGGTTTCTGTTGTACCGCAGAATAGCTTCCTTAGTGGTATAGTGGTGGAAGCAAACTATTATATCTCTCGGGGTGTCATTGTCCCCCCGCCGAGCGCGCAGGGCCCTGTGCGCCCGGTCCATGGCCCACTGGGCTTTGGGGATGTCTGGGAGTAGGCCGCTAAAATATGCTTCCACTAGCGCTGCCAGAGGGCCTTCATTGGGCGTTTCGGGCCACCCCCTGATGCGCAGATTGTTCCGCCTGGTGCGGTTGGACAAGTCTTCAACCTGCATTTCCAGGTCTATAATGTGGTGGTCTAGGGAGGTGGAGTGCTGTATCACAGCATTGTGGCCCTGAACCAGTACCTCCATCCTCTGCTCCAGTTCTGAGGTGCGGGCGCCCAGGGCCTGGATCTCAGCTTTGATATCATGTGTGCTGCGGGTGATTTCACTTGCCAGGTATGTTTTGACCTCTGCAAGCCTTTGCAGGATTTGTTCTGTGCTGCCTCCGTCTGACTCCTGTTGCTCCCGGTCCGTTGGGGATTGGGAGCCTCGCGCGCCCGTCCGGCGGCCATCTTGTGAGGCCTGTGCGGCCTGTGTTGGTCGCGAGGCCGCGAACATGTCGGCCACTGAGGGGGGGAAATCCAGCGCTTCCCCGCGTTTCTTCCGGCGTGGAGTGGCTCCGGTGCTCGGGTGGGGCATAGGGAAGGTAGGTGCTGGCTGCGGTGCTGGTTGCCGGTGCGGAATTGTGTGTGGGTGAGCGGGAGCTCGCTCGTTAGGCTGCCATTCTAGTCGGCTGCCAGGCCACGCCCCCCCTCATGTCAACTTTTTAGCAGATAAAGCATTTTTCTCCATCCTTAACTGTATATCCCCTCACTGCTTTTTTCATTTCCAAATATGAAGCAGATGTATGAAAAAGCCTTTCAGGTTATTTACTAGCATGAAATTTCAAAGTGGATTTCAAATGAAAAGTCCAAATAGCCGAATTTCAAAAAAATATGCATTTAGTTCAGCTTCTTTGACCTTATATTTGGAATTATCTTTGAATTCTCCAAAGCTGCAGAAGCTCATTCACTCATTGCGGGTTAGATTAAAGATGGAGCATTAGCATGCACAGCAACAAGCAGTACTTCCAAGTACTATAACCAAATCAATGAGGTGAAATTGTTATAGTGCCTACAATGTACCTTTAATGAACACTTCATCTGCCCGGAGCTAATATAAGTGGTGTAATAAAATTAACAATAAATAAAAGGCTGCGCCACGTAAAATCAATAAATAGAAAGTTGGATAAAAACCAAAATAAAAAGTCCAAATTGCGAGTCCTTACAAATAGTCTTTATGGAAGGCTGGTAGGATGGTTGGTCCTTCAAATACAATGGTGGGTCCTCTTATACGAAAGAGAAAAAAGATGGACAACCAATGGTGCAGTATATCAAATCCAAATATGACGTAATGAGAGATAATAATGGAAAACTCACATTTACAAGAGCTTTTGTCCAGCTCTGAGATAAGGCGCACACAGCGGTATAATCCCCGCTTATGGGATATATATGGTGGGATATCTCTCCATCAGGGATGATCAATTCTCGGAAGGAAGAAGAGACAACCAATAGTGCTCACTGTATAGTGGTGATGGTATAAATTAAATTAAAACCGTACTTACTTGGGGTACTGGAGTCTTCCAATTTGTTGGTGCAAACCAATAGATGGTTAAAAATAATGATAAAATTATACAGTAAAATAACTATAAATAAAAATAATTAAAATAATTAAAAAGCCAGGGTAAAAAATAAAATAAAAAATGTGTATAAGAGAGATAATTGACACAAATATATAACCAAATTAACTTTAATATTAATACACAATATAAATATCCATAACGCGTTTCGTCACAAAAGACTTTATCAAATGGAATAACAAGAGGGATTCCCCTTTAAGGGTTGCTGCCTTGAGTTGTTCAGCGCTGTCTCATCCACTTATCATTATCACCAATATAAGTGGTGTACCCTCGCACATTAGTGAAAGAACAGCACTGATGTCTAAAGAGAATTTAGCAAGTCTGCAGAAACATCCATAAGCAGCATTTTTCTCCTCAGCTGTCACTAGTGACCACAGGGGGCCTGACAAGGCTTGACAAAAGGTAGTAGTCCCTACTTTATCTTATATCTTTTACAAATAAACAATATCACCAAATATTTCGCTCCACCATGAGAAAAACATAAGGAAAGGAAAGAACATTAAAACATATTTCTCTTTATTCAGTATCCATGTGCATAGAAACATGAGACAAAATGGTCAGATGAACAGTAAAAATTTCAATAACAGTATATAAAGAAAGAAGGGAAGGAGATAGACATGCCTAATGAAACGGAACGCATTTCGCGTCTGCAGTGGTAACTGTTTACAAATCATCTGGCGCAGATGTGAAATGCGTTTAGTCTCATCAAGTGTGTGGTGTCTCTCTCTCCTTTCCCCCTTTCTTTATGTTTAGTTTGTGAATGTTTTTTAATGTTACTCCCTTTTCCTATATTTCTCATGGAGTGCAATATTTGGCTATATTAATTTTTTGTACTGCATTTATTGGGGCTATCCTTATTTGCACCCCTAAGGGAAGATATAAACACCTTTATTGAGATTTATTTGCTGCAACATTTAGATTGTGGATTTGATATATTTATGATATGTTTTGACTGAGTTGGAATTTCAGTGAATTGCTCCTTTTTTGGGGTGGGGATGATAGATTGATGATAGAGCCATTTCAATCACACACAGGAGCTGCTATAGGCTCTAGCAGGAAATTAACAGTGCCGGAAGAACACACATTCTAGATTAAACACACTTTGCAAAAAGGGAAATTTAAAACAAAATTAGACTTCATCAGCAATTGTGTAGGGAAACTATGTAAGTTACAGTCAGAGGTGGTGTGACAGGGGCTGCATAAATATCTAAAAGAATTTCTAATAAAACCTAAATGGTAGAGAATTTAGCAGAGAGACTGTAGGGGTAGGACCTGTACACCAAAGCCACTTCATTAACCTTAAGTTGCTTTGGTGCTTAGTGTCCCTTTAAGTGTGTGTATATATATCTAGATATCTAGATCATGGATTAGGGTGCGGATGAGTGATCTATAGTTGCTATTGAAGAGGGCCTTATTGTTAGCGGCTAGGCAAGTCCCTAAGTATGTGAATGCTTCGGTAGTGGTTTTTATCTGGTAGTGTGTTCGTATGGAGGTTGTGTCCACATCGGTGATGTGAAACAGCATAGCTACAGACTTCCGATATGTCCCCATATTCTGTCAGTAGTGTGTGGACGTTGGAAATGGACTGCAATGGGTTTGTTAAGGTTAATAAAACATCATCAGTGTAAGCTGCAACTTTAAATTGTTGATATGCAATTTCCACTCCTGTTATCTGGGGATCTGGTCTTATGGTGTGCAGTAGCGGCTCTAGTGTTAGCGCGAAGAGTAGTGGTGAGAGTGGGCACCCTTGGCGCGTGCCGTTTCCCAAGGGGAAAGGGACTCTTTGGTCATCCGTGACTATTGTTTGTGCTTGCGTGTCGGTGTAAAGTGCTTTGATTGCTGTTATATAGGGGTCCGGGAATCCCATGTGTGTCAGGAGGCTAAACAGGTAAGGCCCCTTGACCCTGTCGAACGCCTTCTCAGCATTCAGTGACAGGCCCAAGGAGAGCTGTCCCGACTGTGCCATACGCCACAGCAGATTAACACTCCTGCGGGTGTTTTCATAGAGTTGCCTGTTCGGCATGAACCCTACTTGATCGGGGTGGATCAGTTTTGTTAATAGTGGCGTAAGCCTGGTCGCTAGTATTTTGGCGAAGAGTTTTAAATCTGAGTTAATGAGTGAAATAGGTCTGTAGTTGCTTGCTATTGTAATATCTTTCTCAGGTTTTGGGAGCAGTATGATATATGCTATTGCCATGCCAGTGTTAGATACTGCATGAAGTGATTGCATTATATTGTGCAGAGTGAGCACCTATTTGTCGTTTGTAGTATCCCATGTCGTACCCGTCAGGCCCTGGTGTTTTATTTCCTTTTAGGGACCCTATGGCTTGTTCTACCTCCTCTGCGGTAATACGGGTGCGCAAGGCTTCTGCCTCCCCATCAGTAATTTAGGTATTCGTTGATGCGTGTGTTATATTCTACATTGTCCTGGGTGTGATGTGGGGAGTGGTTGTATAGTGCGGAGAAATAGTCCGTAAATACTCTATTGATGTGTTCAGGTGTGGTTACCAGGTCTCCAGTTCTTGTGTGTAATTTAGTTATCGTTTTTTGTCCTGTTCTAGGTTGTAGCGTTCTGGCTAATATGGTGTAAATTTTGTTTGCTTTTTCGTAATATAGGTGCTTCGTCCACTGCAGAGAATGAGCTGCCTCCTCTAGTGAAAGTTCTTTGATAGAGTGGCTCAGTGCGCTAAGTTCTGTGGCTTTTGTCGTAGTGGAATTCGTTTTGTGTTGTAGTTCAGCCTTTCTCAAGGCTGATTGGAGCTCTAGTAAATGGTTTGTTTTATGTTGTTTTTTAAGTGTCGCTAGGTGACCCCTATTACCGTCTTGTGGGCAGCCCATACTATGGTGGGATTTATGTCTGGGTCCTCATTTTGTGTGAAGTAATCAGTGATTGCTTCTTTGGTTGAGGTGAGGATATCCTCATCCTTCAACAGGTTGGGTTTCAGTTTCCATGACCAGTTTGTGCTGTATTGCATTTTGCCTAGTGTGACCGTCATGACCGGACCATGTTATGCTATTAATCTCTGTGTGTATGACCTTATGCATACCCGTGCCGTTTTAAAATAAGTTATCTATTTGGGAGTAGGTGTCATGTGGTGTGGAGTAGAAGGTAATCTTTGGTGCTTGGGTAGTGCAGCCACCAAGCATCCAGGAGGCCGTTGTTTGTGCAGTAGTTGTACAGTAACTTGTCCTGTCCTCCCTTTCCATGTGATCTGACTGTCCCTGGTCTAGCGCTTCTGTCTAGTGCTGGGTTTGGAATCGCATTAAAGTCGCCCACCACGACGAGCACTCCTCCACTCCCAATAGTGGTTATTGTTTCTAATGAAGGAGGCATCTGGTTCATTCGGGGCATATACGTTGATAAGACATATTTTCGTGTTGTAAAGAGGGCCTGTTATAGTCAGATATTGCCCCTCTGGATCTATTTGGCTGTGGATTATTGTCAGGGGGCAGCGCTTGTGAACTAGTATTGCTACTCCTGCGTGTTTGGGCAATGTGCGCACTTCAAAGACCTCATGTAGGATTTGTTTGTCAACCGTACTGGGGTCGACCTGGGGAGGTGTGTTTCCTGAACCATAGCTATGTCAGCCTTCTTGGCCCTTTAAGTCACTGTGTAAGAGCCTATGTTTAGTTGGGGTGTTTAAACCCTTGACATTCAGAGAGAAAATTTCCAGCGCCATATTTTAGAGTGTATGATGTTGCGAGCATTTGGCTCTGTGTAGTGCGCAGGGATTATGCAGAGTTTGTTGGTGGATATTTGGTATTGGATACTTAAGTGTAGGCGGTAGCATTCTCCTCACCGTGTAGTGCCTTTTGGAACAAGTGGTAAAACGTAACATTGCAAACAATAAACATAACATAAAACAATCTTGCCGTCTGGTCTTATTTTCTGCCAGAACTAAGTGGGGGTGGACATCCCACCCCAGGGACAGCATGTCGTTCTCTTACTAGGGTGGCACCGCTCCACTATATTTCTAAATCGTAACCTGTCATGCATCTGCATCTTATTCATTGCTTAACCTACATGCCTTCCATTTTGGGACAAGGCCCATCCTCCTACCCAATGGAGTCCCCGCCCGTCCCCCCATCGTGGTTTTCGGAGTGTCATGTGTGGGAATGGTTCCCCAATTGAACTGTGGTAGTTACCCAGTCAAGGCGCCACCATATGTCCTGGGGCCTAAGAGTTGGGTCACCCTGCGATCACACTTTTAAAGCACCGCAGCCCACAACCAGGAGAGAGAGTCGCCCCGAAGCTGTGGCGACTGTCTCTCCTGCTCCCTGTGGTCTCTCCATTTAACTGTTTAACATTGATATTTTAAGCTTTTTTTGCCTTAAGCATTTTTTTCTAAGTTTTAATTGCATTATTAAAAATCCTATTTTTATTATAACTTTTATCGATAATTTTTCCTGATGAACAACTTACTAAACAGACTGACTAACAAATGGTGTGACAAATTCAAAAACAAGTATACATGAACTAGATTCAGCTGTTAAGTTATTATTCATGATAACTTTATAATTCAATTTTTTTGACAATCATTCATCACATTAAAATTTAACTGACAGAATTACTTAATAACTATTAACATAGAGTCAATGATCGCAATTATTTTTGCGAGATGGCGGACGGAAAGGGTCCTTTCAAGGGGAGAGAGGAGACAGCATACTCAGCTCAGGAAGTTGTTTATTTTATTTTTTTCCCTTTCCTTCCTCTTTTTTCTTTCCACTGTTTCCCTTTTCCTTCCCCCTTTATCTTTTCCTTTTTTGTTTGTTTCCTTTCTTCCCCCCCCCCTATTTTTAATGGGGCTGTTAAACATGTCTCCCTTTAAATATATCTGATTGATTTCTATATGTATTCGATATTTTTTTAGAGTACCTGTATACGAGTACTATAAGCTGTAGAGATTTTATCCGTAGAGATTTTCTTCCAGTTGGATCATATAGCTTTATGCAGATAGGTCTTATCTGCATTTCTGTAAAACCCTTTTTCCATTCTGCCCCGGTATTCAATCTGACCAGCTACATCTGGCCATTTAGGTGTTAAGGGTAACTTCCAATTTATGAGCTTTATGGCTATAAACATAGGCGTGCGCGGCCTATTGCATAAGGGTGTGCACCCTAAAGCACAAACACACACGCCGCATGTATATGTATGTTTGCAATGCTGTGTGTGTGTGAGAGTGCTGTGTGTGGGCGCTGTGTGAGTGTAAAGGTGTGAGGGTGTTGTGTCTGTGAGTTTGTGAGGGTGGTGTGTGTGTGTTAGGGTGCTGTGTGTGTGAGGGCATTGTGTGTGTGTAAGGGTGCTGTTAGTGTGTGTGTGTGTGTGTGTGTAAGGGTGCTGTATGTGTGAGAGCACTGTTAGTGTGTGTATGTGTAAGGGTGCTGTGTGTGTGAGTGTGCGGTGTTTGTGTGGGTGGTGTGTGTATGTGAGGGTACTGTTAGTGTGTGTGTGAGGTCACTGTTAGTGTGTGTATGTGTAAGGGTGCTGTGTCTGTGTGTTTGTGAGGGTGGTGTGTGTGTGTGTTAGGGTGCTGTGTGTGTGAGGGCACTTTGTGTGTACACTTGCTAAAAGTCCTGATATGGTTTGTTCTCTTCCTTGCAAGGCTACATTCAGGCATTCTAAGATCTCCATGATGCAAAGAGAGATTTGAAGACCTAGTAGAGTTTTCCCTTGCCTAAATTGTTGTAGTAGGCCACGTGCACGTGGATTTATATCTCCACTACTTCTGGTATTTGCAATTTCTTCAAGTGTTTCAAAAATCAGCTGGTAATTATCCAGAATTTTTTTCACAGGCTTCACTCTAACAGTCCAGCGTGTTGGGCACAATGGTTTAATATGCAAGACTTTAAGAGGCCCTTCAGCTTTATGATGCACAATTTCTGAAAATGTGGTTCTGCATTTCATAGATTGCCCAAAGAGTTTGCCAATATCCTGCACACACCTAAGTGCATCTTCCATTATTGGACATTGATGTGCTGCGGCCTGCATAACTAAATTTGTGCAATGTGCACCGCAATGGACATAAATGGCAAGTGGATGTTCCTGCTTGATTAATGCCTGGGCACCATGATATTTACCAACCATATTTGAAGCTCCATCATATGTTTGCCCTCGCAACATTGACATACAAAGCCCATTACGGCATAAAGCATCCTTGACAATCTGTGCGATTGCAGATCCACTTGTTTCATCAACTTGATATAAGCCTATGAAGTCCTCATGTGGGTACAAGTCTTCATCAACATAGCAGATACAGACATTGTTTTGTTCTTGACCAGATATATCTTGTGTGCCATCAACAATAATTGCAAAGGCATTATTTCCAATCTGTTTCCGAATAAGGCGTAATACGGTGTGAGACAATAACTTCAAAATCTCATTTTGAATGTCGGGACTCATGTATTCTGCTTTGTGTGATAGCCAATTTTTTAGATAAGACACATCATCTGCCTGTGCAAGCAGAAACTGTTTAAAATTGCCGTCATTGTCTTCATGGCCATGAAGAGGGAGACCTTGTTTTGCCAACAGGGCTATTGTTTGTACTATCTTGATGAGACACAGCCATGCATCATTCTGTTGCTGTTGAATTTGTAGTGAAAGCTGAGCATTAATGGGTTGTGAATCTTTATGATGCAATAGTTGCTTCATAGAATATGTATGAGCAGAACAACTCTGATGTTTTTTAAACTTTTCAATAGCCTTTTTCCAATTTTTAAAGCCTACACAATCAAATGCTGGCTCAGTGTTCTTTTCGAGTTGAGTCAGATTCAGGATGGCTGCTTTAGCACAGTAGAAACATAGTACCCCTTCAAGAGTAAAACTATAGTGCAGCCAGGGGTCAAGTCCTGGGGAAAAAGGTGTGGGAACTCACCCAAGATTCCCGCCTCCACCCCCTTAAAAAAAAATTAAAAAAAAAAAAAAATTACACTCCTATGCATATAGTGCAGTGCAGGGTGTGTATAATGAATGTAGTGTGTTTGTAGTGAATGCAGAGTATGAATAATAAATGTAGTGTGTTTGTAGTGAGTGCAGTGTGAATAATAATTGTAGTGTATTTGTAGTGAGTGCAGAGTGTGTATAATGAATGTAGTGTATTTGTAGTGAGTGCAGAGTGTGTATAACAAATGTAGTGTATTTGTAGTGAGTGCAGTGTGTATAATAAATGTAGTGTGTTTGTAGTGAGTGCAGTGTGTATAGTGAATGCAGTGTGTATAGTGAATGTAGTGTTTTTGTAGTGAGTACAGAGTGTGTATAATGAATGCAGAGTGTGTATAGTGAATGTAGTGTGTTTGTAGTGAGTGCAGAGTGTGTACAATGAATGCAGTGTATGTAGTGTGTTTGTAGTGAATGCAGAGTGTGTATAGTGAATGTAGTGTGTAGTGAGTGCAGAATGTGTGTAGTGAGTGAAGAGTGTGTATAATGAATGCAGCGTGTTCTGGATGATGTGTGTGTGCACGCTGGATGATGTGTGTGTGTGAGTGCTGGATGATGTGTGTGTTTGAGTGCTGGATGATGTGTGTGAGAGTGCTGGATGATGTGTGTGAGAGTGCTGGATGATGGGTGTGTGAGTGCTGGATGATGTGTGTGTGAGTGCTGGATGATGTGTGTGAGAGTGCTGGATGATGTGTGTGTGTGAGTGCTGGATGATGTGTGTGAGAGTGCTGGATGATGTGTGTGTGAGTGCTGGATGATGGGTGTGTGTGTGCTGGATGATGGGTGTGTGTGTGTGCTGGATGATGGGTGTGTGAGTGATGGCTGATGGGTGTGTGAGTGCTGGATGATGGGTGTGTGTGTGTGCTGGATGATGGGTGTGTGAGTGATGGCTGATGGGTGTGTGAGTGCTGGATGATGGGTGTGTGTGTGCTGGATGATGGGTGTGTGTGTGCTGGATGATGGGTGTGGGGAGGGGGGGGGAAGTATTTTTTTCTTACTTTGTGTTTATTTTATTCCCCCCTCCCTGCTTCTTACCTTGTCAGGGAGGGGGGAGATCGCCTGGTGGTCCGGTGGTATGCTGGAGGGAGGCAGCCGCTGCACAGAGGAGCCATCACACGCTGTGTTCCCTCTCCAGCTCTAACTCTCGCGAGACTCGCCTGTGCGGAGCGTTGCCATGGTAACAGCCGCGGGTCTCGCGAGAGTTATAGCTGGAGAAGGAACACAGCATGTGACGGCCCCTCTGTGCAGGGGACCAGGACGGTCACAGGACAGGTAGCGAGCAGCGTTCCTGCTTTGGAAAAGTGCAGGAGCGCGTTCCCATGCGTTCCTGCAGGACTCGAGCCTGCCCAGTGCCTATTTTCTCTTTTACTGCCTCTTGGTAAACTTATTACCTCATTTGGATTCCACTACCACCTGTACGCTGATGACACCCAGATATTTCTCCCCTCCCTGGACCACTCCCCTGCCGTCCTGCAACGTGACACTGCTTGCCTTTATTCCATCTCTGACTGGATGTCCTCCCACTTTCTGAAACTCAATCTCTCTAAAACTGAGCTCCTTGTCTTTCCTCCTCCTAATACTGATCCTCCTCTTTCGTTCTAGCTTCAAGTTAGTGGTATCCACATCAGTCCATCCTTGCAACTGTGTCTTGGCGTCATACTTGATTCTGGCCTTACCTTTGAGCCTCAGATCCTGTAGATTCCATCTTAAAAATATAGCCCGCATCTGCCCCATTTCTTACACAAGATACTAACAAGACCTGATTGGTCTTCCCAAAAGCCATGTTGCCCCTCTACAGTCTGTAATGAATGCTGCCACCAGACTGATTTTCCTCTCTAGTTGGTTCTCTCACACCTCACTCCTCTGTCAGTCCTTACATTGGCTTCCTGCATCCTATAGGAGTCAATTCAAAATGCTAACCCATATCTATAAAGCACTAAACAATTCCAGCCCCTCTTACATCTCTCTCCGCTGCTCACACCCGTATGGCCAACTCACACTTGCAGGACTTCTCGCGGGCGGCTCCCTTCCTATGGAATAGCCTGCCTACCGCCATCGGACTCTTCCCTAGTATTCAACTGTTTAAGAAGTGCCTTGAAATCCATCTCTTTAAGAAAGCTTATGGCCTCCCAGAGTAACCTCTACTTCACATACCTGTCTCCTGCTCTCTCCTAAAGGGCAGCACTTTACTCTCTCCTCCAGCTCTGCTTCACTCCCACCTTATTCGATTGCTATTTCCTGTCCTGTTGTGTTTTATACCCCACCTCCTATAGACTGTAAGCTCATCTGTAGCAGGATCCTCTTCCACCTATGATTCCTGTAAGTTTTCTTGTAATTGTCCTATTTATAGTTAAATCATAATATTGTAAAGTGCTACGAAATATGTTGACGCTATATCAATGTCAATAATAATAATGGAGGGAACCAGTCCTGGCCCAGAATGAACCAGTGGTAAGATGTAGGAAGCTGCATAGATTGGATAGAGGAAAGGATGGAGAGTGATTGAGGGAGGTGGTGAAGGAAGTAGTGAGATAGGGGAGTGATGGAGGGACTGAGGGAAGTGGTGATTGAGGGAGTGAGAGTGAGAGTGAAGGATGAGGTGATGGAGAGATGGAGGGAGGTAGTGAGGGAGTCTTGGAGGGATGGATGGAGAGGCTGATGGAGGGATGGAGGGACTGATGAAGGGATGGAGGGAGAGATGTAGGGTTAGGTGGAATGAAAGTAGGGGATGAGGTGAGAGAGTAATGGAGGGATGAGGGAGGACAGTATGGACTGATGGAGAGATGGATGGAGGGAAGTAGGGAAGGATGGAGTTAGAGAGAGGAATGATGGAGTTCAGTAGGGAGTGATAGAGGGCAGTAGGGATGTGATGAAGGAGGGATGAGTGAGGGATGGAGTGAGGTTATGATGGAAGGATGGATTTAGAGGGAGGGCAGTAGGGAGTGATGGAGGGATGGAAGGAGCAATGGAGTTAGAGTGAGTGATGTAGGCAGTGATGAAGGAGGGATGGAGGGAATGATGGAGTTAGAGGGAGGGATGGATGGATGAAGGAGGGATTGAAGGAGGGGTGCAGTTAGAGGGTGTGATAGAAGGAGTGATATAGTTAGAGGGAGGTATGGAGGGATAGAGGGAGTGATGGATTTAGAGAGAGGGATGGAGGGATAAAAGGAGTGATGGAGTTAGAGGGAGGGATAGAGGGAGTGATGGAGGGATAGAGGGAGTAATGGAGTTAGAGAGAGGGATGGAGGGATAAAAGGAGTGATGGAGTTAGAGAGAGGAATAGAAGGAGTGATGGAGTTATAAAGGACGGATGGCGTTGGGGGGAGGTATGGAGGGAGTGATGGAGGATGTGATGGAGTTAGAGGGAAGGATGGAGGGAGGGATAGAAGGAGTGATGGAGTTAGAGGGAAGGGATGGAGGGAGGGATAGAAGGAGTGATGGAGTTAGAGGGAAAGATGGAGGGAGGGATAAAAAGAGTGATGGAGTTAGAGGGATGGATGGAGGGAGGGATAGAAGGAGTGATGGAGTTAGAGGGAAGGATGGAGGGAGGGATAGAAGGAGTGATGGAGTTAGAGGGAAAGATGGAGGGAGGGATAAAAAGAGTGATGGAGTTAGAGGGATGGATGGAGGGAGGGATAGAAGGAGTGATGGAGTTAGAGGGAGAGATGGAGGGAGTGATGAAGGAGGGATGGAGGGAGTAATGGAGTTAGAGAGAGGGATGGAGGGATAAAAGGAGTGATGGAGTTAGAGAGAGGGATAGAAGGAGTGATGGAGTTATAAAGGAGGGATGGAGTTGGAGGGAGGTATGGAGGGAGTGATGGAGGATGTGATGGAGTTAGAGGGAAGGATGGAGGGAGGGATAGAAGGAGTGATGGAGTTAGAGGGAAGGATGGAGGGAGGGATAGAAGGAGTGATGGAGTTAGAGGGAAGAATGGAGGGAGGGATAGAAGGAGTGATGGAGTTAGAGGGAAGGATGGAGGGAGGGATAGAAAGAGTGATGGAGTTAGAGGGAAGGATGGAGGAGGAGGAAAGAGCGGATGGAGAAGGAGGAGAGGAGGGATAGAAGGAGTGATGGAGTTAGAGGGAAGGATGGAGGGAGGGATAGAAGGAGTGATGGAGTTAGAGGGGATGGAGGGAGGGATAGAAGGAGTGATGGAGTTAGAGGGAGAGATGGAGGGAGTGATGAAGGAGGGATGGAGGGAGTAATGGAGTTAGAGAGAGGGATGGAGGGATAAAAGGAGTGATGGAGTTAGAGAGAGGGATAGAAGGAGTGATGGAGTTATAAAGGAGGGATGGAGTTGGAGGGAGGTATGGAGGGAGTGATGGAGGATGTGATGGAGTTAGAGGGAAGGATGGAGGGAGGGATAGAAGGAGTGATGGAGTTAGAGGGAAGGATGGAGGGAGGGATAGAAGGAGTGATGGAGTTAGAGGGAAGGATGGAGGGAGGGATAGAAGAAGTGATGGAGTTAGAGGAAAGGATGGAGGGAGGGAGGGATAGAAGGAGTGATGGAGTTAGAGGGAAGGATGGAGGGAGGGAGGGATAGAAGGAGTGATGGAGTTAGAGGGAAGGATGGAGGGAGGGATAGAAGGAGTGATGGAGTTAGAGGGAGGGCGGTAGGAGGTACCCGCTGTCGGGGAGGCTGGTCCAGTCGATGCCAGGCTGTGTTGAGAGGTACAGAGCCCGCACAGCCTCTCAGTCCCGGCCGCCGGAGCTC